ATATGTATATATATATATATATATATATATATATATATATATATATATATATATAGATATATATATATATATATATATATATATATATATATATATATATATATATATATATATATACGCTATACAGCGGTCTGCCAGATTAGTTAAGAAGGTTAAGATGGATTATTAGGTTGCACAGGAAGGAGTATACAAGAGCTGCTCGTTCACACAGAAGAGTACAGTTCCATACGGATTTTGTGCTTGTAATTTCTTACGCGTTGCAAGCAACGACTCGCACATTCGTCTGTACAAGTGGGTCCCGGGGCTCCCTTTCCTGCCTCGGGGTGGCCGAAGCGAAGGACCCCGGCGTGGCTGTCTTGAGGGGCCCCTGAGCAGCCTTCAGTTGCACAGGTTGGCCGCTGGCAACGCAGCAGGCAGACAGGTAGAAGAAAGGAGAAGGGCACGAGTTAGCACTCGAGTGGTATCTCCTCCGCTTCCCCTCCGACTCGTCACTTCGCCCGCGGTGGAGGGACCTGTTATTTTCTAACTGCGTTGTTTTCGTCTGTAATCCCGATCGACGTTAATTTTCCTTTTCCGCAAAACTTCTTATCTATCAGGTAAGCGTCTCCTTCCTATCCATTTTCTCCTTTTGCCTGCCGTCCTCTGCCCCAACTCCTCCTCCTCCTCCTCCCTGGAAATGAAAACCCTAGAGGCCAACGAATCCATGGCTGGCGAGCCGCTGGCCCAATCCCGGACTGAAGCTAAACCTGGGGTGGCTGTGCATGTTGGTGATGAGGGTGTGGGTTTAGGATTCGCTAGCCGTGGGTCACCGGGGGAAATCGCTTTCGCCGTTGGTGATCTCGCGTGGGGGAAGACCAAGGGCCAACCGTGGTGGCCGGCGATGGTTTCTGATCCGTCCCGCGCGCTCGACGACGCCAAGAAGGTTCACCGGAGGGATGTCTCCTTCTTCGTCACTTGCTTCGGTAGCGGCGCCTTTGCGTGGTGCGAGCCGGCCCAGCTGAAGCCCTTCGTCGAGGAGTTCCATCGCATGGCGAGGCAGAGCAGCTCGAAGGGCTTCGTCGGAGCCGTCGAGGGCGCCTTGAATGAGATGAGGCAGCGCCTCCAGTTGGCGCTTACTTGCTGCTGTGTTTCGCCGGAGGCCCGAGGGAAAAATGCTGGAGGTCCACCTGGGAGACTCCCGGTCACGAACTTCGAGCCTATCGAGTTTCTCGAGCACCTCCATGATGTGGCTTGTGATGTTCTGGCGGCCGATATGTTGGAAGTTGCAGCTCTCAAGAGTTGGACGATGGCTTTTGGGAAGGGGTGGACAGATGGTGCGCCTGGGTGCCATCCGCGCCGTCAGATAATGGAGCTG